CTTAAGATAGTCAGCACTGCTCTGCTATAATTTCTAGTACAGGCCTGGCTATCATAAAACAGTAACACATAAAAATCTGTTTTAAAATGACAAGGATGTGTTCGTTTCTCTACTTCTGTGGGGTTACTGCCTCTACAGCCATAAGGGACTACACATATACACCAAATTGGGACTCCACATATACACCAGAATTTGCACAGGCATTAAGAATTTTGGCATGAACTACATCACAGAGAAAAGACAACACTCAGTAAAATGAATGACAAGAAAACAAATATGTTTCTAATGATGTGCAATAGCCATCATAATAACAATAGTAAATAGTAACTAAGATTTATATAGCACTGGCTATGTGCCAGGCACTGTTCTAAGTGCTTTACCTTTAAATCTCACATTTACGCTAAGGTTGGAACTGTTGTTATCCTATTTCATACATCAGGATAAGAGCAAATAAATAGTTGTCATACACTTGTTAAAAGATGGAAGCCAAGGGCTTGAATTCAGACAGTTTGATTCCAAATACTATTGCCTTACCATTATGCATATTCTGGTAATTCAACTATACACATTTACTGGGACCCTGTTATGTGTAAAGCACCATGCTAGGAGCTCAAGGTACAAAGATATGATGTGGCTTTCCTTTGTGTATGCATCTGACTGATTACACAACTCAAAGCTTCTTTTCACCAGTTACTATATTGCATCAATCTTTATACTCAAAATATTTATCTAAATAATTAAGGACAACTGTTATGAATAATGATCTTCAAAGCATAGCACCAACAGTTTAAAGAGTTTCAAAAAGTAGGGGTGCCTGGATGGCTCAGTCGGTTAAGCGTCCGACTTTGGCTCAGGTCATGATCTCACGGTTCATGGATTTGAGCCCCATGTCAGGCTCTGTGCTGACAGCCAGCTCAGAGCCTGGAGCCTTTTTCAGATTCTGTGTCCCCCTCTCTCTCTGACCCTCATGCTGTCTCTCTCTCAGAAATAAATAAAACATTAAAAAAATTAAAAAAGAGGTTTAAAAATTAATCCAGAGGACTTTTTTTTAATTTTTTTTTTTCTGAGAGAGAGAGAGAGAGAGAGCGTGCAAGCATGAATGGGACAGGGAGAAGAGAGACAGAGAATCCGAAGCAGGCTCCAGGCTTCATTCTATCAGCAAAGAGCCCGAGTGGGGCTCAAACCCATAGACCACGAGATCAAAACTGAGCCAAACTCGGATGCCCAATTGATTGAGCCACTCAGGTGCCATCTGGACTTCTGGTTTCTGGTTCCACATGTAAGAAGCTTAGAAGTTGCCAATCTAACCTAACAACAAGTAAAAAGCTAATAAACAGGTTGAAAAATCAAGAATTTTTTTTGAACAAGAGAGAAGAGGAGTCAGGGCAAACCACTATTCCTAAGAATGGAGATGCAGAAAGGTATACAGGGAGTCATGGTTTACAAAAGAGACTCATGAGCAGGAAAACCTGAACTATAATAGATGTTCAATTTGGACACCTCACTGAAGGCTAAGTGTTGACAACTCAGAGACTTAAAGTTTTCGGGGGACCCAGACATAGGGAGGCTCCTGACAATACTGTGAGATTTACCTCTAAGAGGCTCAACTATATTCCCTTAGTAAATATTGGGGGGAAAAAACAAATGAAAATGAAAATACAACAATCCAAACTCTATGGGATGCGGCAAAGGCAGTCCTAAGAGGAAAGTACATTGCACTCCAGGCCTATTTCAAGAAATTAGAAAAAGCACAAGTGCAAAATCTAACAGCTCACCTAAAGGAACTAGAGGGAGAGCAACAAGAGCACCCCAAACTCAGCAGAAGAAGAGAAATAGTAAAAATCAGAGCAGAAATAAACAACATAGAGACCAAAGAAACAACTGAAAATATCAATGAAACTAAGAGTTGGTTTTTTGAAAAAATAAACAAAATTGACAAACCTCTAGCCAGGCTTCTCAAAAAGAAAAGAGAGAGCACCCAAATAGACAAAATCATGAATGAAAATGGACTTATTACAACCAACCCCTCAGAAATACAAGCAATTATCAGGGAATACTATGAAAAATTATATGCCAACAAATTGGACAACTTAGAAGAAATGGACAAATTCCTAAACACACACTCACTACCAAAATTCACACGGGAAGAAATAGAAAACCT